ATTTTTTAATACCTTAAATTATTGAGAACGATTATGTAACCGTTTTAATTATTTATAATTTTATCACATTATTTAATACTAGAGTGCAATGCATATTTTAGAATAATGGTRTATTGAATATTATAATGYTCAGTGACGGGACTTTGGCACATATAGCAAAGAACTTCGATCTCGGTGGCTATATAACAAATCTGTTAWGTCAATCTTACAATATTTTGAAATAGTGATTCTACAACTGTGAAATGTTTCAATATTTGTCATTTATATATTTATTCACTTTTTTTTTCTTTAATATAGTTCTTGTACTGATAACACAGAGGTAACAATTTGATTACTTGATTTAATATAGTATGTGACAATGTACCCAATACAATTTTTTTTTTCAATTTGAGATTTTACTAGGTACGTAATTATCATTATTGCATAATGTAAAATACTGTAAATTAATATAAAAAMACCCTTTAAACACTGTGTCTGGAAGTTTTTACATAATTGATGGATTTTAATTCGTATTTAATGATTTTTAAAATTTACTCATGTTATTCATGGTTAAACGGGGTGAATTTATAATATTTTAAATGTCACAATTGCATCACACTGAAATAAAAATACTTTTTTCAAACATTTTTGAGTTAATTTTCAACAAAATTATTTGTGGCATCTAGCTAATAAATAAAATATATTATTTTATAAATGTATACTCGAATAATAACACTTTTTCATTTTAATATGGTGTAATAATGCAAGTAAGAAAAAAAAATGTTTAAGTAAACTTAACTAACAATTTAATAAAAATATTAATAAAACCCCATGGTTTATAAATTATGATTATTATACATTATAAGGCTGTACTTAATTGTATTTTTTCTTCGTTATTTTTTGATTCATTTRAAGTGTATTTCTTTTAAGATATCATTATTCTTATTTCCACGTTTTAATTTCCTATTAAAATGCATTCAGGAGGTATTTATAAGAAAATATTTAAACGATTTTAAATTCCATTAATTATGGATCTTGATCATAAAAAGCATATATATATATGTATGTATATTGTATATGTATTTCATTACAAAAAGTACTAAATCAACATTAAAACGTAAAAAATATTACCACGGRCTTGTCTCCATTCGCAGTGAATTGCACACAAAATTTGTGTTTTTTGTGGATTAAACTAACGGATCCTTTCACTTTTTCAGGCGTCAGTGGTGGAGTACAAGTTGACACCAGTGATGTTAGAGACGGTGGTTCGCCCGTGGCGGTAGTTGACTTGGCAGCGGCGGCGAACAGTAGCAGGAAGCAGAGAGTGCACCACCACAAACGCCATTTGTCGAGATCTTCATCGGTGGTCGACAATGCCCCGGGGAACGCACTGATTAACGAGCTTGGAAATCCGGACAACATGTTCGTCACCGAAAATGGCACCGTTGTCACGTCACAGATCGGTGGCACCGCAATTTTACCATGCGCCACTGTCAAACCAGGCACAGCCACGGTGAGTATTATAATAATTAATACCATGCAATAACAACTAAATAGTAATGACAATGGCTACGATAATTAAAAAGACGACGGTATAAGTAAAAAGAATGCATCACGACTCCCAATGTGTCACAATACATGAAAAAGCATTTTGGGTTTTTTTACATGTTTCAACATCCAACATGGATTGGTGGACCAACGTTAAGTATTGTAATTGATCATGAAAAAAA